CTGCACGGGGAGAACATGGAGACTCCCCTGTATGGATGTATTCTGTCAAATTTATTTTTGCAAATTTTATTGGACATTGCATGTCTGCATGTCTCAATCATGAGATTTTCATCATTTGATCCTTTCGTCATATGTATTGTTTTGTAAAAGCTCATTGGCCTGCAGGCAAAACTCTGATTGTTTGTGTAATTGACTATTTTTTCAAAATCACCAAGTGTGGCTGGAATCAACCAAAAACTGAATTGTTCTCATTTCTCATTGACTTTAAATGAACAACGTTTGTTTCTGCTGAGCAGGAGTCCATGTAGAACCAGTGCCCTTTAAAAAAAAAGCTTCATTTCAAAATATCTTCATTGGAAGCTGCGGGTGGTCAGACGAGCAGAACACCATTAGGCCTTATTACACAGTTGTCAGTGTGCACACCGTTGTGGAAATGAAAAGTGCTCAGCCACACGCTGCTATGATATATAATTGTAATTTCTGCAGCCATTGTAATTAATCACAGTGCGCTTTTCCCAAACCGCTGAGCCTGCTGTCGCTCGGCTGTCGATCCCTCCTTCTCCGTCTGTCCTCCTCCTGTCCTGTCCTTTCATTGTCTTTGGTGCTTGTCATTTTTCAAGTCTACATCATCTTTCCTTCCTTATATTTTCCTTTCTACATTATGTCCAAGGTGAAAACTTCATTTCTCCACAGAGCTACGTTTTTATAAATTGAGAGAAATACACGTCAGATTGACACTAATGGTTTTTGAGTTGACATGGGGGATATGAATGGATTCACTGTGGGGCTATAAAACTTTGTCACCTCCTAAAGATCACACGTGAACATGTGATCCTTCCCGCCAAAAAGCTGAAGGTGAAGGAGTTTGTCATGTGAGAACAAGGTGTCCTCCGCTCTGTCCTGGTCTCTCTTCTTCCTCACTGTAGCCATTTTTCCCTCCTTGTGCCTTTCAAACCTGATGACTTCATATTCCCGTGTTGCCCACCTTTACAGACTATATTAGGAATTATTCTTGGTTTCACTTATGTCATATCATCATGTCATCACACTGTTCTTGCTTCTCATTTTCCTTTTTTCCCTCTTTTTTCTTCCCAACAGATTTGTAACATCATGAATGCAGCTGAGGATGAATTTTTCAAATTCCAGGTAAGATGGATGCAGTATATTTTTCAAGGATGCACTGATTATTCAATAAATAAATAAATAAATCATCATACACAGAAAACTGTTTTTGCAAAACAATTATTTAAAATATTAATAGTTTTTAAAAAAAAAACAACGAATTCGATATTAGCTTTCTGCCACAGTTGTCAAAGTGTTACCTGCAAAATATGATTTGGTACGACAGTTTATTAAGTCTTGCTGCCATGCTTACAAATTTAGGAATATGAAAGTAAATGAAAAATGTGCTAAATACCAGCAGTAAGATGAATATTTGCAATACGCACATTCAGTGTGCAGGAAAGAGCCTCCTCCTGAACACGGACTTGGTGTCTAGTGGTTGTTAACATCATGCATTTGATAGAAACGTGCATGTGGGCGTGTCGTGTAAAGAGTGGAGAAGCCACAGTGGAGCGCTCACATTCACTCTATACAGTATTTACTCATAACCAGCATGTAGGGAACACCAGTTCTAATAATAATCTAATGTCAAAGAACATTTTAAATATATCTATCATTTATCATCACAAGGTTAAAACTGAGCTTAGACCATAGACTGTATAAAAGATGGACGTAGCAACCGGCCCTGAAAAATGAAGCCAACCCGAAAGTGTCAAAAATCTGCAATATCACTACGTCTGCTAGCTGCTGGCTCCAAAAAGGCCTGGCTCCCATAGACTTGAATTGGAAAAGAAGTGATCACAGATCACAAAATACTGCATTCCTACAGCTCAGGATTTTTTTCTTATTAGTTTTCATGGTCAAATCCAGAGATCAGGTGGCCAATCTGAAAATAAATCAATACTGAATTTTTAAAAAATCGTCAACATTTTGTGGGGCAAGGGGCGTGGCTGGCTTGATTGACAGTCGGCAGCGACGATTCAGACGAAGCAAGCAGAAGGCGGCAAATGTGGGCGGGCAGAGAGGGCCCGCCTCTCAATCCGTCTGACCAATCACTGCTCCTATGGCTCCGCCCCCCTCCCACGTTTTTTGCGTCACTCGCTCCAAAAATCCAAGATGTCAACCAGGAAGTAGCAAAACCCTGGCTTCATTTTCTCAGTGCAGAAACCGACGGGTGACGTCACGGTAGCTACGTCCATCTTTTATACAGTCTATGGCTTAGACATAATGTTTTAACTGCAACATTCAGAGAACGTTTGCCAGGGCCACACATTGTGTTACAGACCGACAGAGGAAGAACGTTCTCAAGTCCACATTTAAGAAATGTTTTCAAGATGTCATCGAGGCCTCGGGGCATTTTTATAAATGTGACATATTAATAACAGTAAAAGATTAGTCATTCTTGTTCCCAGTTTGTCCACATATGTGATCAGCCACTGTCACATCATTTCAGTTTCTATTATGCATTAATTAATTCAGAAAAGAACACAGTTCAGCGCTGCAGTGCTTCAGCTTCATAACTTCTCATACCTTAACGCCAGTTGTTGCTTGAGGGTTCTGTGAGAGTCGTGGCCAATTCAGTTCATTATATGTAATCAGATTTTATGTAAAGTAATAGACGTCATTAGCATTTGTCAGATTACAGTAATTGCAGTATGTGAGGCTTTACACTTTGCAGTGACTATATGTAGAAATAATGTATGAAAAAAATGAACTTGTCTATATAGAGGCCTCTCATGTACCATAACAGACCAGCAGAGACCAATCATGTAGAAATGAATAAATGATACGTCCCACATTCTCTGCTCTCCTTAGTTTCAATTATTTTCCTGGGAGCTGTAAAGCTCTCATTGTACTTATCCTTTTTATACTTGGTTTCTAATACAGTGGTAGCCATTGTCCTTGCTCAGACATCGATCGTGGTTCAGTACTGCTGACAATGAGGGGAAAATACACCATTATATTCTCTTATATAGCTGAGTCTGAAGTTCAGCCTGATCCAGGACTCTTTTTTTTTTTTTTTTTGTGTTGCAATTCACCAGATGTACCCACTTCCCTCCAACCTGCCTTATGCAAGTTTACTTTAGTCAATAGGTCCTCACATTTCCCAAAAAGCCTTTGAAGGTCATGCAGTGTAGGTGGCCACAGGATTATTGTAGTTAGACGAAGCTGAGGAAGAGTTTTTCAGTTGTGGGTTTGTTTTTGCTTTTGCTTTTTTTTTTTTCCATTTCTATTAAACTGCACTGTTTTCCAGTCGAGCATGAACATTTATTGTCGAGTTCTCTGTTGAACTCTGGAACTTAATCCCAGCCAAACCTGTTCCATTTTTTTTCCTAAGCATTTTGAAGTGCAGCTGTAGTTCACCGTGCAGTCATTCGAAAAAAGTAAGACTTCAACAACTGCAGCCCTCTGTTTAAATTCCAGGTGCGGCAAGCAGGTGAATTATTGATTATTTTCACATTTTCTCTGACTTTACAGGGTCACAGTACACTTCTGTAAGAGCGATGCTAATATTGATGCAAAAAAAAAAAAAAGTTTCCCCCTGCACCCCAGATAAGGCCTGCTGTCACTGACATTCATTAAAACAAAGCGTGCTCTGCTTGTGTGTCCACGTTCTTCAGACGGAGCCTCTGGACGACTCTGGCTGGACCATTAAGAACGTCCTGTCTATGCCAATTGTCAACAAGAAAGAAGAGATAGTGGGTGTGGCCACGTTCTATAATAGGAAGGATGGGAAACCCTTTGATGAAATGGACGAAACACTGATGGAGGTACAGGCTCTGTCTGACTCTGTGTGTGTGTGTGTGTGTGTGTGTGTGTGTGTGTGTGACAGCACTGAGTCATTGGTTTATAAATACACTACAGGCCATTCAGAGCATCTGCATTATTTATCAGCGGGCCTGGAGGCTTTTTACTGATGTTTCTCTGCCTGCCTCGCTGCTCAGAACTCAGGAAAACACCAAACATGGCAGATTGATCCTCAGCTCTTAATTTACATAAAAAGGAACTTTTGAATGAGCGCTTGCTGTGATCATATTATTTGTTATTCACTAATTTGCTCTGTCACGAAAATGATTTGATGGAAGTCCAGTTCTGAAAAATAGTGCTGGGTAGCTTTTTTTTACCAAACTACCTGCTTGTGGGAGGTCAGTGTGTTTAATATGTACAATTTGAAGATACTTTGCTTGAACTTTTACACAATAAACACATTTATACTTCCACGATATTGCAGAAAAAGGTTTAGTTGTAGGTTTTTCATTGTTACAGATTATACTATCCAACAGAATACAAAGTAGTAAAACCAAACTTCACCTTCATGCTTTCATATTAAATGAATGCTCACTGATTAATGCACCATTATTAATAACAGTAAGTCATTTCTCTGCAATGCTTTCCCCCCCACTGATAGAAAGTGATAGCTTCATTTTAATTTTGTTTTAGACAAATGAAAGCAGTTGTGTTTAACAGCGACACATTTGGGGAATCGTTCTGGACACACCTTTCACTGGTATGAGTTGATTTACTCTCCCTGACGTTCTCTCTCTCTCTCTCTCTCTCACAAACACCTGCCTCCAGTCTCTGACCCAGTTCTTGGGCTGGTCGGTGCTGAACACTGACACCTACGACAAGATGAACAAGCTGGAGAACAGGAAGGACATCTTCCAGGACATGGTGATGTACCATGTCAAGTGTCGCAAGGACGAAATCCAGCACGTTCTGGTTAGTAAGGAAATGTGGAAATGACCAGACCTGCATTAGAACAAGGCTAAATATATGATTCAAAGTTTTTAAAGACAACCTTTTGTATTGAAGCTTCAGCTCAGATCATGCTTCATTTATTTGTGTGCTTCTGCCCTCGTAGAATCCTTCAGACATTTTCACAAGTCAAGGATTTTTGTTTTCTTCATATAATTATATATTTTTTGCAAGGTTGGTAAAGTCTTGTCAAAAACCTCACAGACCACCAAACACGTCAAAGCGGCTGTCATGACAGCATGTTCCATAGCAATTAGTCAGCAAAATATTAGCTGCAAAACAAATTTGTGCACAGAATAATGGTTTGAATATAGGAAACAAACAACGAAAGAGCGTAAAGTTTGATAAATAATGTCATAGATAGTCCAGCAACTTTAAATATTACGTTTGATTATTTAACTGCAGTTTTACTTCTTATTTTTTTTTCATCTCAGAGTCATGTAGCTCCACACAAACTGATGCACTGAAACACAAACTACAGAGAAGACACAAAATTAATGACATGCAGTGTTGGCATATAAATGCACGGAGACAGAGAAGAGAGGAGAGGAGAGGAGAGGACAGGTGCTCGGTGCTTCATGGGAAGTCTCCGAGCAGACTGAGCCTGTGGAAGCGTAACTAAGGGATGTTTCAGGGTCACCTGAGCCAACCATAAGCAAACCCAAACTGGGAGCTGGTTCCTCAGCAGAGAAGCCTGATAGCTGGAGGCTCAGCCTCCCGTTCTATTTTTGGAAACTCTCGGAACCACAATTAATCCTGACGTCTCCGAGTCAAGCACGCTATAGGTGTAATCGTGTACTGTGAGGCCTTTGAGATAAGATGGAGCTTGTTCATTAAGGGCTTTAGATGTAAGAGGGATTTTAAATTAAGATCTGGATTTTATAATGTAGAGGTGCTAAAATGGCAGAAGTATGATCTGTCTCTCTGTCAGTGGCTGCAACGTTTTGGCTCAACTGATGACTTTACAGAGTTATCGGGGCATCCTGATGATACGGCATCAAGATAGTCCAGTGTACAATGAACACATTCATGTTTAAATAAAAGTGGGATAAAGCAGGATCTCAAATGTAAAATTTTAGTAGTTTTAATGTTGCAATTAAATAAAAAAAAGTGTAGTACAGATGAGGTTAAATGTGTTTTACATCAAACAGAGACAAAGAGGAAGATGGAACATTCTAGTTGTACCAGCCCTGCACAATCAGTCCCCTGTTTAAAACAAAATCTGTTTCAATATTTGTGCTAAACGTAACCAAACCAGTGAGTCTGAAACCAGTCAGTCGGTGTGAATGATATAAACAGGAGGTGAGCATCATCTATAAGATGAAATAAGCTGTCAGACTTTCTATGAGGTGATTTGTCAGCGGACAGAGAGAGAAGAAAGGCAGAGAGAGAGGTGAACCGGTCTGACCTCAGATCAGGAGTCACTTGATTGATGCTAAACCGTTTCATCCAAGGTGAGTGTTGATGATGTGTGTTTCGCCAGAACACCAGAGAGAGATGGGGGAAGGAACCGGACGAGTGTGAAGAGGAGGAGCTTCAGGAGATTCTGGTAAACAACCAAACACTCGGCTTGTGCTTCTGGAAACTGTAACACATTTAGGCCTGATGGGAATGTAAAGGAGGAATGAGAGAGGTGGCGCAGTGAAGGTGGTTATGAATATCTGAGCGGCATGTGGGGAAACATTATCGACTCCACAGAATAAAACTGTGATTGCAACAGTTCAGTGCTTTGAAAATAAATTAATTGATGTTATAATTAATAAATCACTCAAGGATCCACACCTAAATAGGTTTTTATGCAGGTTTTTTATTAGTCTCTTAGGTCAACAGGCCACTATTTATCCTATTAACTTATTTGATTAGTATTTCTGTTTTACTGGGGACAAGACCTGAGTGCTGTATTTTGTTCCCTGTGTTCCCATGATGTTAAATTACCAACCTACCAACACATGACACACTGTTTGCAAACATCCATCCATCCATTTTCTATACACCGCTTAATCCTCACTAGGGTCATGGGGGGCTGGAGTCTATCCCAGCTGACTCAGGGTGAAGGCAGGGGACACCCTGGACAGGTCACCAGTCTATCACAGGGCTACACTTAGAGACAGACAACCAAGCACACTCACATTCACACCTACGGACAATTTAGAATCACCAATTAACCTCAGCATGTTTTTGGAGAGAGAACCCACGCTGCAAACTCCACACAGAAAGATCCCGGTGCCCCCACCAGGATGCGAACCGGCGACCTTCTTGCTGCAAGGCAACAGTGCTAACCAACTGCACCACCTTGCAGCCCTGTTTGCAAACATCTCTGTTAAAAAAAAAAAACCCCAACAATACATGTTTATCCGTTTTCGTCCACAGTCCGAGGTTTTGCCAGACTCTAAAAAAGTTGAGATCTTCGAGTTTCACTTCTACGACTATCACCACACTGAGCTGGAGCTGGTGAAGTGTGGCATCAAGATGTACTACGAGCTGAAAGTGGTGGACAAGTTTCACATCCCCAGAGAGGTCGGTGGTTGGTTTGTCAGTTTGGTAGCTAGTCAGGATGCATAATGCTCATGTCTTTCTCGTGTTTGCAAAAAAATGCACTTCAAGACACACGGGACTCCTCAAAGTGCTGGAGCGCTGAAATGATGGAGATAAATAAGTCGGAAGCTTCTTGCACACTTTTTATAACGAACTGAGCTGCATCATTTTCCATGGAATGTGTTGTATTGACAATTTTACAAAGACGTTCCAAAACACAGCAGATTTAGACAAGTTTTTTTTATGCATATATATTTATTCATCTATTATTTTCTTAACTATCCGTCTCCTATTTTATCTCGTTGTTCGATTCAATTAGAAACATCAATATCGAGGAGACATTTGTCATAATCAAGCGTGTGTTTTCTGCAGGCCTTGGTGAGGTTCGTATACTCCCTCAGCAAAGGCTACAGGAGGATCACCTACCACAACTGGAGACACGGATTCAACGTCGGACAGACCATGTTCACTCTGCTGATGGTCACAGATTTTACTTACTCCCTCTGCCACCTCCTCCCCTTTTCCTTTACGTCCCCAAGTACTCATCAATCCCTCATCACCTCCTGCTCTCTATCTTTCTCCCTCCTCCTCTCTCCAGCACACCCTCTCCTTCATCACTTTAATTTTAAGCATCCTTCCTCCTTCGTGTGATTCCAGGTGATAAACATCCTTTCCCTCTTCTCTTCTCTTTCCTTTATCTCCCCCCTCCCCCCCCCCCCCGCCTCTTCATTCCTTGCATCATCTGAATTGTACTGTACATGTGATCATGCGTGTTGCGTGTTTGTGTGCAAACAAGAGAAAGGGAGTAAATGAGGGAGATAATGGAGTGTGTCTGTAAATGAAAAGTGAGGCAGTGTTGCCTGCGCTGGTCATTAATAAGATAACCAGTGACTGTCATTGTTTATATATATATATATATATATATACATATATATATATATACACAGCCTCTTACAGAAAAATCAGATAAACCAGATTTTTTTCTATATTTCTGCTTGTGTTTGTTAACTAGAGTAAATGCTTGTGTGTGCTCCTACGGCACGCACATGCACGTCAAGTGATGCTATTGCTGCATGACTCATGAGTGTGTGTACAGTCGGCCCCTATTAATAAATCACTCTTTTCGTTTGTGCTCCCAGACGGGTGATCTGAAGCGTTACTACACGGACCTGGAGTGTATGGCGATGGTGACTGCTGGCCTCTGTCACGATATTGACCACAGAGGAACCAACAACCTCTACCAAATGAAGTATGTGCTAAAAGAAAAGTGGAACGGGCGGGTGTCGTTTTATTAAAAGAAAGGTTACAGGTTTGACCCTAACTGCAGCAACCTAGAAGATACAAGAGCGTTAAAATTCATTTATTCAACTTTTATTTATATTTGTAGTACATTGGAGGCCTCGTAGGAATATCAAAGATTTAACCACAGCAACAATATTGAAAGTTAGTAAAAATAATAGAAACATTCATTTGAGCTTTTA